CTCGGGGCCACTGCTGTCTGGGACTGAAACACTGGCATTGTACTGCATTGGTCATTGGCGTTCGTGGATGTTGGCATTGGGCATGGGCATTCAATCAGAAGTTGTCAAGTATTGTACCCGTTTGGCAACGAGCACATTTTTGGGCATAGCCAACCAGGGTTTTCACATGGGCGTTCAGGGGCGGATGGGCCAACGTCATGGTGGGCAACGCAGGGGTAAGTCGATCCAGTACATGGGCAACGGAGATATATGGCCAAAAAAACAAGGAGAGGGAAAAGGGGGAAAAGCAATAAATTTTAATTTAATACAAACTATACTCATACTCTCAATTAATGAAACAAGATTAAGTTGTTCTGAAGACTAACACAATAATGGACTTCTCTATACCTGACTGTGGCTTAACATTTAAGGACCTTAAATGATGGTTCTAGTTTTGTTTTTTTGTTGTTTTTTAATGTTTCAGTAGCAGGCTGGCTCGTGAGGGTAGACACAAAACCTGTCGTGATTCAAAAGTTTACTGAAATTCTTGAGGAAAATGGGGAAATAACCCAGATAATTATACAGAACATCTGGATTAAGAGGAAAAAGAGGTTCAAAGACAAAACAAAAATTCCCACACCAAACCCAACTAGTAAGACTGTTTTGGCTTCATGAGGTGTAAAACACATTCCTGTATCTCATAAGCAGGTTTGTAAAAATTAAAATTTAAAGTTTATAGCAATCAAGAGAAACACAAAGATCTGTTACCGAGAGAAATGAAATACTGTTAGGTACTTAACACAGTTATTTGACTCAATTTTACCAAGATAAACATTAAGAAATTTTGGGGTAGTCAAGTACTAGAAATAACACACACACTTCTGGCACTGCCAACATTTAATGTGTCTAATCACAAGAGTCAACCCACTATAAATTATGAAGACTCAAATTCTAGACAGATAGTCCCGCTCGCCAAGATTAAGCTATCCTTTATCCACGTTTAAAAGTCCATGTTGCAAGCTGTGGAACAGGCTTTTGTATTGTTTTAAAGAAAATAAAGGTTGACTTTTAAATCAGCCATCCTCAGTGGCTGGCAGTAAATGCCGATTCCCTCTCACACATACACAGAAGAGGAATGATGCAATTATGGGTTTTTACACTTTGTCTCTATTTCTAATTAAGATGTTTTATCTTATTTGAAGTGAGTTAATTTGAAGGGCTTTATCGGAGAATGAAAAAAATTTAATTATGTAAGTTCCACCTTGATCAGGGCTTAAAAAAGCAGGAACCATCTATATAACCATTAATTATTACAAATGGTTTGTAGCTATACTCAGTGATTTCTAAGATGCGAACCTTTAAAAACCTAGAAACATACAACGAATTCACTTGTTTAGTAGTTTAATACTTACGTCTGTACGGAGAGCCTTAATATTCTTGCCTCCTTTTCCAATCACTGCCCCAGCATTCTGGAATAGACAAAAAATTACTTTGCATTTCCATGTAAAATTAACATTTCTGCCTGTATTTTTAAACCTTTAACAACAAATCTGCACAGGAGTGGGAATCTACTTGAGAATGAGGGGGAAAGCAAGATTCTACTTAGTGAGTATGAATGATTTTATAATGATCTTTAAGAAAGTATAGATTACTTCTACAAGTATCCTCTTGTGAAAACCAAGCAAAAAATTTTATATTGTGATGGGAAATAAAACTGTAACCAAGACCTAAAACCCATCAATGCCCTAGAGCCCTGCTCACTCTTCAAACTCCTCTTTGGTGGACCTTGGTTAACAGGCTTTCACACCTTCCAACTCCAGTGCTACCCAGAGTTCAGGAGTCTGTTTATAAAGAATCAAACCAACTAAATGGCATAAGGCGGAGGACAGATGATGTAGAGTTCAAGCCAACCTCACCTATGGGAGAGACTCTGTCTTAACCCTTTTATAAAACTCTGAATTAGTTTAACCTAAGGACAAAAAGTTGCATTTGTACCTTGCTCTGAAGCAGAATGCGCAGCTCAACCATCTCATCTGTGTTTCTAGATCTTTTAAAGGCTTGCTCCTCTTCCATATCTTCTGCAGGGCGTTTGCCTAGAAATTAAATTATTTTAAATTAGAAATATCCTTAAAACGGGGAAGTTTAAATTAATTTTATGTTCCTGTCATTTTCTTGGTCTTTTCCCTTTGTAACAAAGATCATATTATAATAAATACTTCAAGGGATTAAACATTTGTACTGGTTACCTGTGCAAACACGTTACTTCTTGTCCATAAAATCCAAGAAGTAACACAATCTCAAAAGGCTATAGAATTATAATTATGAAAGAGGTAACCACAACACATAGATGAAGCTATTATAATGAAATTAAATATCTTCTCACCAAATTCACCATTGGTTTCGGTGTTGGGGAAGGTTTCTTCTGGCTGCTCGGTCTCCATTTTCTTGAATTAAATGGATACACCAATCTGTAAAATAAACAGATAAATAAAGAAGCTGGTATATTTGGCTTATTAAAAAAGCAAACACCATTTTTACTTAAAATCTTTAAAGAGACTCTGCTTCCAGAACACACACCTTGCAGAGAGCATAACTGACACAGTAATGCTACAGTAGTCTATAAAACCCACCATAAATCAGTTTTGGTTTTTCCTACTAATGGGTCCCAGTTCCGCTGTGAGGTAACGGGCTGTTTTTTTTTTTTAAGACACTACAAATTCAGCAGGAAAACCAGATGTAGCGGACTGCTTTTAGACCGAGACTGTCTCAACGAAACACAACGGCCCAACAAACTACTATGAAGAGGAGCCCATTTTCCCAAGGACAACCCCATCCTCAACTTCCTTTAATCACAACTGAAAAAAAGCCCAGCCGACCGTAAAGTGTTCACAAAATTAGCGTCATCGTGCAGACCGGTAGTTGATCGAAATTGTTTCCCGGTCGCTCGAGACCTGACAACAACATTTCAACGGAAGCTGCCCCGCTAGCAAAACACCGTGGCAAACACAAGCCGCTTTCAACGCCCGCGGGGAGAAAACCCAAACCCCCGCCCGAGGCGCGGACTCCAGCGACCGCCATTGTCCAGCCGCAGCGGCAGAGCCCACGGCTTCGGGGCCTTCGGCCGCCAACACCGCCGTTACAACTTTAAATGGTGCTGGGGGGGGAAGGAGACAAAACCCGCTCCAACTCCCCGAAACTCGCCCTCGAAAGCACCCAACGACACAACTGGTCCAGACAACTCGCGGCCGCCCCGGGCCAAAGGCTCCGTCCGCGCACGGAGTCCGGGCGGGCATCGCACCGGGCGTCACGGTAAGGACGATCCCTCCCCCGCTTCCCCCGGGGACGAGCGGACCGAGGCGCGCCAGCCCCCGAGCCCCCTCCCCGGCCCCCAGGCCCCGCCGGCCCGGGCCGTCTCCTAGCGGCGCCGCCTCTGCTCACCCGGATCCGACAGGAAATGGCGGCCCGCGTAATGGCGACTGCGTGCGACTAGGCGGAGTCGCGCGAGACCGCCCCCTCCCCCACCCCGCCAGCCACCCCAGCACGCGGGCCCGCGAGCTCGGCCCCCGCACCTCCCCCACCGCCCAGACAAAGCCGCCGCGGCCCCCGCCCGCCCGCGCCGCTCCAGCGGCCCTGCCCGGGAGGCCCGCGCCGGGGCGGGCGGGAGGGACAAAGAGGGCGGGCGGGCGAGCACGCGACCCCCGCGACCCCGACAAGCGCGGGCGGGCGGGCCCCGCGCTCCTCCTTCCCGCACCGGACGCGCCCCCCGGCACGGCCCGGCTCTCACGGGTCGCCCCCGGCACGGCAACCGCAGCGGCCACGCTCGGGGAAATGGCGGCTGTGGGGGGAAGGGGAAGGCCGGGCAACGTCCCCGGGCGGCGGGCGATGGCGGCCTCGGGGGACGCCCTCCCGTCCTCCCCTCTCCCTCCCCGCCCGGCGCCCTAGCGCGCGGGCCTCGGCTTCCCGCGTCCCCGGCGCGCGGCCCGCCCGCCCGCCCGCCCTCCGCTCACCGCGCTCCCCGCCGTTGCCTTCCCGGCCGCCGCGCCGCCTCCGACGGTCGGTCAACTGCGAGAGTCGGGGACGAGGGCCCACCCCCTCCTTTCCGGCCGCCCTCCCTCCCTCCCGGCCGCCGCGCCCCATTGGCCGCCCGGGCGCCGGCGGTGGTGCGAGGGCCGGGCGATTGGCCCGAGGCCGCGTCAGTGACGGCGCCGGGGACCCCGCCTTCCGCCGGCGACTCCCTTCGGCCCGGGCCGTCAGGCCGCGGCGCCGCCTGAGGAAGCCCCGGGCTTGGGGGCCGGCCCCGAGCCGCCGCCCCGCTCCCCGGGGCCCGCACAGCCGAGCCCCGGCCGACCCCGGATACCTACACGGCCGCGACCGAGCGCGAGGCGAGCACGACGGCGACGTCCGTGCAGCGGGGAAACAGAGGATAATGGCGTCTGCAGCGCTGTCGCCTGGAGCGCCCTCCTCTCTCTCTCTCTCTCTCTCTCTCTCTCTCGCTCGCTCTCCCTCACTCGCTCGCTCCCTCTCCCTCCCTCCCTCACGCTCGTTCGCGCACTCTGGAACGACGGGAGGGGGAGGGGAGCGCGGACGCTGCTCTCGCGAGATCTGAGGCGGGCGCTCACGTGCGGCGGGAGGGGGGCGGCTCCAGGGTCTCTGCGAGCCCCGGGGGAGCCCCGCGGGGGTTGGAGCCCGGGACCCCGGTGAGCGAAGTGTGGGGCGTGGGGACGGGGGGGAAGAAAGCCGCTGTCACCCGGGGGGAGGGAGCCCCGAGGCGCGCGCGGCGGCGGAGAGCCGCGTCCTCCCGGTCGCGCGGCCCCTGGATCGCACCGCGGCGACACGAGGCGGGAAGGCCAGGTCGGTGCCCGGCCGGGGTTCCTCCGGCGGCCGTCGCGCCTCGCTCGCTCGCTCGCTCCCAGCGCAGCGGGGGCCGCGCGCCCCTCCGCGGGGCCCGGGAAACCCGCTGTGCTAACTAGCGGCGCGCGCGGGAGGGCGGGGAGGACGCAGCGGCCTGGGAACGGCGCCCCCGAGAGGCTCCCGCTCCCCTCAGACCTCAGCCGAGCCCCTCAGAGCCTCAGGACCCTCGGCGCGGCCGCCTAGCGGGGCCTTGACGTCGTTGTAATCTATTCTGATTGAAATCTGAAGTCACTTTTCTTGTTGGTCCCGTATAAAGTGCAGACCGCAGAACTCGACGTAGGGCCCCGCGCGTCAGGGTAGCGCTCCTTCAAGAGCACCCCGCGACCTTGGATCATCCACCCCGACCCCAGCCCCCGCCGCCGGGAAGCTCGAAGGCTGCGTGGCTGACCCCTTCCCTCCCCCTTCCCCTCTCACTCTTGCCGAAGCGTCAAGATGTGGGTCTGTGGAAGGAGTCTTAGTTAGGGAGGTTCATGTGCTGGTCCGCGTGTGTCCTACCTCGTGGATGATTTCAAGACGTAAACCAGCGTCCTTTTAAGTGGCTCTGTTGCTTAGCGGTTGCGTTATCTTTTACTTGTCAGAAGAAAACTGGGAACTGAGGACGGGATGAGGCACGGAGTGAGGGTAGACGTAAGGATGGTTCCATTAGAGATAGTCTGCGTAGTTTGCTCTGTAGATGAGCCTGGCCTCAAAGCCGCAGATGTGCACCTGCCCCTGCCTCCCAGATGCAGAGATAAAGGCGTGAGCCACCATGCCTGGCCCGGAGTTTTAATTCTTCTGGTGCTTTTGAAGCGGGGTCTACTATGTAACAAACTTCTGCCTGCCTGCGACACGGACTCCCGAGGGCTGGGCTCAAAGGTGTGTGCCACCACACCAGCTAAAGTTAGTATTTCTGTTGCAACTTTCTCCCCTGGTAAGTAGAGGTGAGTGGGAGTCCAAGGGAAACTATACAGGAGCTGTCTTGACTAGTGAAAAGTTACTTTCTCTCGACTTGATTATGGGATTGTTAACACCCCCAGCTACACCCTTTAGGTTTCCTCGGAGTAACTGAAAGTTTGTCTCTTCTCCGTCCTTCATTTTCTTTTTGAAGTTGGACGTTTTTAATTCATTACCAAAACCTCTGCTCAGGGCTTAGGCTACGGATGCCATGGATTTGGGTCCACCACAGGTTAATGGTTAAATTTCATAGTATGATGTGGTGGTGTCAATTTGGAGCCAGTATCACTTAACCGGGATTTACTGTAATTGCAACTGAACAGTAGCTAGCTGGAGGGATATTTAAAACACTGTAGGTGCCCCAGAGTCCTACCACACGCCAGACTTGGTGCTGGCAGCTCAATGCTTACTGCAGTTCTTTGAATAAGTTGGGGTTATCTTTGTTTTGTGGGTGTGGTTGTTCATGGGAGGCAGAAGCAGGTGGATTTGTGAGTTCAAAGTCAGCCACGGGCTGCTGTATAGTGAAACTGTTTGAAGAAACAAAACAAACACAAAAAAACATGAGGCCGGGTAGGTGGGGTGGATCAGTGGGTAAAGGTGCTTGCTGCCAAGGCCAGGCTTGATGTAAACTCCATCCCTGGGATCCCTGTGTTGGAAGGAGAGAACCGACCCTCAGACCGACCTCTAGTCTCCACATATCCTCAGCCAAACAGCTCCTATTATTCTTATTTTATGTCAGCTATAATGTAACTTTTTTTTCTTCCTTTTTTTTTTTTTGAGACAAGATTTCTCTGCGTTAGAACTCGCTCTGTAGACCAGGCTGGCCTTGAACTGACAGAGATCCTCCTGCCTCTGCCTCCCAAGCCTTGGGATTAAAGGTGTGCGCCACCAACGCCTGGCTAAATAACATTTTTTCATCTCTGATTTTTTTTTTTTGGAATACCTTCTTAAAATTCTGAAATGACCTTGGAATTGAACTTAAAAAAATAAAATGCTTTTATTACATTTTGTGTGTGTGAGTGTGTACCCATGTGCACACATATCACACAAGTGGAAATCAGAAGGCAGCCTTGTGGAGTTGATTCCCTTGTAGCATGTGAGACTGTAGTGTTATACTCATTCACTGCACTTAGTAGCAGGCACCTTTATCTGCTGAGCCATCTTGCTGGCCCAGCTTTTATTCCTAGATGAAAATAATATACATAAAATGGATGTAAATTTTTGTCAGTGCTTTAGAACTCAGCTATTAGTTGGATGTCACAGACACTATCTAGGGATGGTACTTCTCTATTAAAACATTTGAGGCTGATTGAAAATTAGTCACTGAGCCAGATATGCCTGAACCCTAGTGACAAGCGATAGAATGTTTCCACATCGTTCTCTTCTGTTTGTTTGTAAGTAGCCGGGACTTAGAATTAAGATCTATGTGAATAGCCAAATCTGCCAGGCACAAAGGCTAATGAAAATATTTTTTCTTACCATAAAAGCAGTTCATGCTAAGAAAACATGGACATATTTTCCCGTCATTAAATAGTCCCTAAAAACCTCTTCTCAGCTGAGTGTTGTGGCGCACACCTTAAATCCCAGCACTTGGGAGGCAGAAGCAGGAGAATCTCTGTGAATTCAAGGTCAGCCTGGTCTACAAAGAGAGTTCTAAAACAGCCAGGGAACTGTTACACAAAGGAACCCCTGTCACAAAAAAACAAAAATCAAAAAAAAAAATGAAAAAGGAAAATCAAAACAAAAAGCCCTTCAAGCCGGGCGTTGGTGGCACACGCCTTTAATCCCAGCACTCGGGAGGCAGAGGCAGGCGGATCTCTGTGAGTTCGAGGCCAGCCTGGTCTACAGAGTGAGTTCCAGGACAGAGAAACCCTGTCTCGAAAAACAAAAACAAAAAAAACCAAAGCAAAACAAAAAGAAAAGCTCTTCAAGGTCTGGAGGGATGTTTATATATTGCTCTTCCAGAGGACTGGCGTTTAACTCATAACTAAGTGTAACTCCAACTCCAGGGGATCTGACACTTTGCCTCCTTGGGCACCTGCACTCGTGCATATACCCAGACACATGTAAAATTAAATCTTTTTTTTTTTTTTTTTTTTTTTTTTGGTTTTTATGAGACAGGGTTTCTCTGTATTGTTTTGGAGGCTGTCGGTCCAGCCCAGCCTCGAACTCAGAGATCCGCCTGCCTCTGCCTTCTGAGTGCTGGGATTAAAGGTGTATGCCACCACCGCCCAGCTAAAATTAAATCTTTGAGGATGACACAACCTTCTATTTCACGGGCATGATGTAGATCTGTTTTTCTAGATAACATTTAAAACCCCTCATAAAAACAAAGATAAACATTGACTGGGTATTCTGATATCTTTTCTCTTTTTCCTCTTGCCTTCCCTTTTCCCCTTAAGTCATAGATTTCACTCAGGGCCTCAGGGCTACACTTGTTCTTATACTGTTTCTCTGTTAGAGCCCTGGCTGTCCTGGATCTCAGAGAACCGCCTGCCCCTGCCTCCCAAGTACTGGGATTAAAGATGTGCACCACCATGCCTGGCTTCTGATTATTCTTTTACTGTTGGGTCTAGAAAGTAAAACTGTGCGTCACAGGTTAATGTAAAGTTGTTTTTCTTCCTGTACTGAGGAGTTCCTGAGACGCCAAGGCTGTTATTTGTCTATCAACAAATGGGATATTGTTCTGTCCTAGCTAACCTTTCCTTCTGCACCGTTGTTATCTGCTGTGACTGTGATAATACCACTCTACAAGAGCAAGTGGGTTCCCAAGCTAAGCCGTCTCCTCTGCTTGCCCTCCTCAGGGTGGCTCGGAAGATAGGGCACTTGAACCAACCCCTGCAAGCTGTGCCTTGGCTTCTGCATGGTGCTGTGGTATACATGCGCTTCCTCCAAACACACACAGTAATGGTGAACTGTGCCATTCCACACTGCATTAATACCTTTATTAATTCTGTCTACCTTAATTTTCATAGTAGCACAGTGAGTTTAGTAATGAAATAAGGAAACTGGTTTAGAAAATAACTTTCAACAGTTTGTTTCTATTTATCTCACCCTATGCTGCCCTCCTCCTACACACACAGGGATTCTCTGTAGCCCTGGCTGTCCTGGCACTCACTCTGTAGACCAGGCTGGCCTTGAACTCATGGAGATCCGCTTGCCTCCCAGAGTGCTGCTTAGCTGCACTCCTGTTTTTAGCCTATGTTGTTTCCGTTTTACCTTGACTGTTAAGGAGTCCCCAGAACCATACTCTCAGGTTTGTGGAAAGAGGCCAATAAGTCTTCCTGTGGCTTCATTTTAGAATCCTTACTTGCTGTTTGTCTTACCTCTCAAGGTCATTTCTCTGCAGTAGAGGCTTTCAGTATTCCACTGACCGCCCAGCTGGAGACAGTGTCATCAGATCTCATGCTGCCCTGAGGAGCGGTAAGTCCTCACAGACGTGTCAAACTTTGAGTAAGTTCTGCCCCTTCAGTATCTTCATAATGCTTGCTATTGCTTTACTATATTGAGAACGTCAGACTTAAGTATTCCTGACAGCACCGTTGAGAATGTCTAGGCAAACAATAAGACTTCTCAATATCAGCCCAGAACTAGGTGGCCAACCATAGTCATGTAAATTTTAAAAGAGTTAAAATATGAAGCTAATTATAGATCTCCAAGAAACTAGTGAACATTATTTAAGTAAAATTTAAATTAATAGAATCTGATTGTTTGGAGAATCAAGATAGCACTGGTGGCCACTACAACCTGAGTGTCAGGCTCCTTAGGCTCCAGGCTCTCGGCACTGGCTGAGGCTGCTGTAGCTTCAGCCAAGGCCTTGCAGTCTCCAAAGAATGAGAGCTCTGGTCCTCTCCATCCTGGTCAGGCGAGACCTGGCTGTGAGGAACAATGAGAGCCGTGCTAGCTCCCGGCAGGCACCATGACTGGGATCATCCTGGATGCTGGGAAGCACTGTGACAACGCGGAGGCCCCACGAGGTGGGAAGTGAGGGAGTAGATGGTGGCGTGATGGGAGAGAAAGACGTGAGCAAAAGTGAGGCTGGCAGGAGACTTGAAGGTAGATGTTCTTCTTCCCCTTGGGAAGAGATGGATTTCACTGCCCGTCGACAGGGCCAGTAACAAACACAAGGGCCTATGCCTTCGTCCTTTGAGAAAACTGACCACTGTATGAGTCACTGTGACTCCCAGAGCTGCGTCCTAGCCCAGGCAGAAGAGCAGCACCTGCAGAACGGAGACCCACAAATGACGGGACACACCCTGCTGTGCTTGCTTCTCATTGGTGGTGGTGGTGGTGGTTCAGCTGTAAGACTGGAAAACTCTATATTGAATTACAGTTCTGCTGTGCTGCGTCTGACTAGCCAGAGATTTATTTCCTTGGAAGCTTTGGGTTGGACAAACACTTGAAGACACCCAGAGCCCATCCCACCGCCGTGCACAGTAGGCAGGAAGAAGACACGCCTGGAGACCTTGCTCAACACAGCTACTGCAGTGTGCAAGCATGGGGTGGACACAGGGAGGGGAAGAGAAACGACCAGCTTGAGCACTACGAAGAGAGGCAGATCAGGAGATGTGCGGGTGGAGAGGAGTAGCCTGTGAAGCCACCTGAGGCCATGGTGAAGTCCTGGCCCGTGCTGCTCCTGAGGGCCGTGTCCGGGTGTGTGGCCATGCAGCAGCAGGGGTCTGTGTCAGTGTCCATGGCCCATGTCACCCCGATGGTGACGGGACTGCTGCCTGGGCCCATGTCGCTATCCAAGGACTGCACAGGGCTGGCTCTGCCCCACACCACCGCCTGGGCATCGCAGTAGGACAGACCTTGTTGGTGTGGCGGGCAGTGTGCACATGGTTGAGCTGGCCCTGCTGCTCGTTTGTCATGCAGTGGTGTGGGCAAGGGCGAGAGGCTCCTCCCTTCACTCCTTGCCGCTGTGTCAGGCAGGAGAAGTGGTCCTGCAGTCATAAGATGGAGAATGGGCCCTCGCCTCACCTGGGCAACACGGTAGAGCTGGCACTGGCCGTGTGAGCATCGGTTAGCCTCCCTGAGGGCAGATCTGGCATTGCCCCTGTTGCCTGCATTGGGTGAGCTAGCTGGGGCAGTGAGGATGTGGGAGAGTTGTGAGCTAAGCAACTAAGCTACCACCCAGGTGTGGATCCAGGGCTGAGTTAGCCCATCCCAACATCCACCTCATCTGTGAACTGCAGACCCAAAGCTGGAGGCCTCCAAGAGACAGCAAGAAGAGCATCTGAGATGAGTCTGAGTGAAGACCCAGTATTGATAGTATAGCAGAGCCTCAGGCCTTGAACCAGCCATTGCAATGAACACTTTCAAGTAAAGATGTATAGACTAAAGCAGGAATAAGAAAAGAATCTGATCATCGTTTTGAGAAAATACTAAGATACAGTCATGACGGAGTGTCTCTCAAAGATGTGACATTTCAACAGCCCCTTCAGATAAGTGGTGATGCTGACATTAGGCTATGTAGCCTGTACCTTGACAGAGCTAGCTCTTCAACATCCTGCTAAGGGTTAAATATCAGCTGGGTAGAAAGTCAAGGGTTTTTAATGCTGGAGAAGGAAAAGTGTAAAGGGTGTAGCATGGAATTAGGCCTGTCTGTATTTGAAAGTTATAGGTGCTGTATTCAAGTATATTTAATCACTCTTTTCTTTTTGTTTTCAGGTGGATGTGTGTGCTCTTATTTTGAAAATGAGTGTAAATAGTGCTGTATTAAGAGTTGAAACCTGGCTCTTGGCAACATGGCATGTTAAAGTGCCTCTACCCTGGCTGGAAGCATGTGTTAACTGGATCCAAGAAGAAAATGAAAATACTAATTTGAGCCAAGCACAAGTAAATAAACAGGTGTTGGAGCAATGGCTTCTTACTGACCTGAGAGACTTGGAACATCCTCTCTTACCTGATAACATTTTAGAAATCCCAAAGGGAGAACTGAATGGATTTTATGCTCTGCAGATCAATTCCTTGGTTGACGTAAGTCAGCCTGCATATTCCCAGATACAAAAGCTGAGAGGAAAGAATACAACCAATGATCTAGTTTCAGCTGAAACACAGGTTACCCCAAAACCGTGGGAAGCAAGGCCTTCACGGATGCTCATGCTGCAGCTCACCGATGGTGTCACACAAATCCAAGGGATGGAATATCAGTCTGTTCCAGCTCTCCATGGTGGTCTTCCTCCAGGTACAAAAATTTTGGTTCATGGACGAATTTCCTTTCGTCTTGGTGTTCTCTTGTTGAAACCGGAAAATGTGAGGGTATTAGGGGGTGAGGTAGATGGTCTTTCAGAAGAATATGCTCAGGAAAAAGTACTTGGAAGACTGATTGGTGAGCTAGACCCTGCAGTCTCAGTTGTACCAAATGACTCTGCTCACAGTGTGCCCAGAGTTTCGGGGTTGGGATCAGACCCTGCTTTAGGACCTTCAGATGAAGAGCTCTTGGCAAGTCTTTATGAAAGTGAGGGACCTGCAGCAAACGATGATGCATCCATGGGAGCAAGCGGCTTCAGCGCAGGCAGTTCCTTAAACACTACTCCCACAGGCCAGTCTGATTTTGAGCCAGGATGGAATATTTCTTCAAGGCAAAAGGAGAAACCAAACCAATCTGTGCATTTCTCTAATGGAGAGTTTGATGACTTTTCACTGGAAGAGGCCTTGCTTTTAGAAGAAACTGTCCAGAAAGAACAGATGGAAACCAAAGCATTGCAGCCACCAACTTTGAAGAAAAACACAGATAGATGTGTAGAGACATTTTCACATAAACCTAATACTCAGAACCACACTGATTTGATTCATAAACATGGAAACAACAATTGCAATGAAAAAAAATTATCTGAACAAATAATTCATGAAGACAAATTTTTTGACTGTCCATCTGCTAGAGACCATCATAAGAAACTCCTAGCCCATGACTTCACAAATGACAGTGAGACTTTGGGAGTAGATAATACGACAAAAGAAAACAACGACAGTTCACGTGAACATTGCTCAAGTAATAAAATGTTAAAGAGAAAACAAGGAACCTGTCTATCAGAAAAGAGTTCAGAGATCTCTGATGAAAATAGCTACCCTTTTCAGACTTGTTCTTCAGAATCACTTGAGAATAATACTGATCTTTCCGTCAGCATGGACTTAAATTCTCCACCTTTTATCTATTTGGCTGTTCTAATGGCCAGAAAGCCAAAGGAAGTTACCACTGTGAAAGTCAAAGCCTTTATTGTCACTTTAACTGGGAATCTCTCAAGCTCTGGTGGCTGTTGGTGTGTAACTGCAAAGGTTTCTGATGGCACCGCATATCTAGATGTAAATTTTATAGATGAAATACTTACCAGTATGATAGGGTTTTCAGTAGCAGAAATGAAACAATTAAAAAAAGACCCTCTTAAATATCAGACCTTCCTAAAAGGGTTACAAAAATGTCAGCGAGATCTGATAGATTTGTGTTGCCTAATGACTATTTCATTTAATCCTTCTTCAGGTAAAGCCATGGTACTTGAATTACAAGATGTCAGTGTGGAGCACCTTGAGAACCTAAAGAAGCGGCTGAAAAAATAATTGGCCAAAATGCCATTGGAGTATACCTTAAGATATGCAAATATTTGTAATCAAATTTGTTCATAGTCTTATTTTTTAAATTCTGTAAAAGAAGAAAAAGCTTCAGAGCTTAAAAAGGATGATATTGCTCTGTTCAAGAGGCTTTCTGCCAAGCCTGCGTTTGATCCTCTGGTCCCTTGTAGATTAAAAGAGGAGCCAACTCCCAGAATCTGTTGATCATCCTCCACACATGCAGCATGGAATTCATACAGATACCCACACATATATACTAAATGACATTTAAAAATAAAGATATTTAATTAAAATGCATGTGTAAGGGTATTTTTGTTTGGTTTTGTGATGCTAGGCCAGGGCCTTGTAATGCTAGCAAGCCTCTGTCATGAAGCCACATTTCTTGATTGTTGGTATTTTCCCCTTCCTGGAAACAGAATCTCATATTCCCAGGGTGGCCTCAAGCTCTCAAACTCATGAGGCTTCTGGTCCTCTCCATTAGCTGTGCATATAAGCTATTTAATTTTGTTGTGGTTGTTTAAAAGAGATAGAGCTCTTTCACTTTGCTGTTAGAAGATTATGTTGGAAGGGTGACATTATTTTTATTAATCTTCTATCTTAAATTTGTAAAATGGAGTGCTAGATTTCTTTTTTTTTTTTTTTAAACAGGTCTTGCCTCACGTTTATTTGTAAGAACAGCACAGGGCACGAACACCTGCAGATAGGTGTGTCATACCAGCCCATCTGTGTGCACAGTGCCAGAAACTTTTCCTGTGGGGCCTTCACAGGGTTCTGGGCACCTTGACAGCCTGAGCTGAAGCCTGGGCCTTAGCTGGAGCTGAGGACTCTGCCTCGGTTTGCACCCTTGGCCACGTGGCTTCTAATCCGCTTCCCAGACTTGGGGTGAGCGATAAAAGCAAGGCAGCTGAGTTTGCTGCTGCGGCCCTTTGTCATTTTGGGCTTAACTGCCTTGATGGCCTCTGCACATGCGCTCATTGCCTCCGCATTGTTTGTCTGCATCTTTTTTTTATTTTTGGTTTTTCGAGACAGGGTTTCTCTGTATTGCTTTGGAGGCTGTCCTGGCACTCACTCTGTAGACCAGGCTGGTCTCAAACTGACAGAAATCCACCTGCCTCTGCCTCCCGAGTGCTGGGATTAAAGGCGTGCGCCACTCCACCCGGCCATGCCTGCGTCTTCTTCAGGTGTTTCTTGGCAAAGCGCATGTTCCTCGGGAACTTGGGGTCGACCCCCTTGAGAGATTCGTATCTTTGTGACCGGGGTTTCTTTTTTTATTTTTTATTTTTGGAGACTGTTGGTCCAGCCTGGCCTCGAACTCACAGATTCGCCTGCCTTTACCTCCCGAGTGCTGGGATTAAAGGCGTGTGCCACCACTGCCTGGCCGTGATCGGGGTTTCTTGATGCCATTTCTGTGCTATTTTCTGAACTGGTTATGTATGGTGTGGTTCTTGGACTTGGTCGTGTCTGAACGGTATCATTCGGCTTCCCGGAGTGCTAGATTTCTTTAGTGGTCAAGAGCTGATTGCTACCCTCGAAGGGAACTCAAGTGTGGTCCCCAAGATGGGCTGCCAAGCTGCCAGTAACTTCATGTCCAGGGGATTTGACACTCTCTTATGGCTTGCCCAGGTGTGACTATGGGCACAGTGTATACATACACATACTGTGTGGTCCTGGCTGCCCTGGTGATTGCCCTGTAGCCTAGGCTGGCCTTGGAGACTGACCTGCCTCTGGGATTAAAGGTGTATGCCACCATGCCTGGCTTCATAGTTGACAAATCAGCATGGTGGTGGAGACGAGAGGATCAAAAGTTCATCATTCTTGGCTACATAGAGGAGGCCTGCTTGGACTACGTGAGACTGTCTCAAAATAAAAAAAAGTTAAATAAGACGTAAAATGTTTTTCATTGGAAAAAAACAGTTCAAAGCACAAAATACAAATTATATGTGATTTTTAGCACATATGTGTATGTGCCATGTGTGTTTAGGTGCCCTCAGAAGCCAGAAGAAGGCTTCAGATCACCTGGAGCTGGAGTTGTAGGTGTGTGTAAGCTGCCCAATGTAGTGTTTGGAACTGCACTTAGATCCTCTAGAAGAGCAGCAAATACTCTTAACCACTGAGCCTTCTCTCCAGCTCCAAGAATACAGATGCTGTTGGTACATGCTTTCATTGTGTGTGTGTGTGTCTGTAGATTGTGATACCTATTCTTGGTTGTCAAATTGAACTACAATCCAAAAATGGTGAGTGATTATTTCTGCTTGGTTCGAACTGGGTGAATCCACTCCTAGTCAGGACTTTTGAGGAAGGAAGACACACACCACCTTTAATTGGGGCATGCAAGTCTATACAAGGACGTGGAAGAAGGAAGCTTTTACTTTTTGCCAAGTTTCTGGCACATCCATTTCTTCACTGGCATTGAAGCCTACTTCTTTGGGGTTCCAGCATACACTGAACACCAGCCAAGTCATCCAGCCTTGTGGACTGAGAAACTACTAGACGTTCTATTCACAGCAAGCCCTTGTTGGATTAGCTGGAGCACTGCCTGTAAGTCATTCAGTAAGCCCCCTTTATGTATATAGAGAGATCCATTCTCTAAGTTCTGTTACTCTAGAGAACCCTGACTAATGCATGGATCGTGCTTAAAAATATGTAATTAGATCTTCATATTGCATCACTGAATAGAAGTACCAATCTACTGTTGTATATTCATTTCTGGTGTTTGTATTGGGATTCTTTAGAGGAACAGAACCAACAGAAAGAATGTGTTACAAAAGCGACTTATTAAATTGTATCACACCACATCGGCAGAGGCGTGCATCAGTGGTCACAGGCATACTGGGGAGGCTGGGGCCTGGCTCAGTCTGGCTCCATGAGGCTTGATGTTCCAGCTATCCCAGTCTGCTGCTGGAAGTCTGAGGGGCCACAGAAGACGGTTCCTGTGTTATCGAAGGATGGTGGTGGCAGCTCAGAAAGCCACTATACCTGGGCAGCTGCCAGAAAGCGCCACTCATCCGGGGGAGGGGCTTCCCTCAGTCCTTCCAGGAAATACCCTGTCTTATTTGATTCTAGATCCAGTCAGTTGGCAACTAAGATCACTGCGATTTGGCTCTGAGTCTAATCTGGTCTGGATTATGTTCAGTGGGTTATTAATTGGTCTTTATTTTGTTGTCAAAACCATTTTTCATAATGTTGCAAGAGTAACTTTTTACTTTCTTCCTGAGACAAGGTATCCCTGGTACTGTGTATCTCTGGCTGTCCTGGAACTCACTCTGTAGACCAGGCTGGCCTGGAACTCAGAGATCCCTTTGCCTCTGCCTTCTGAGCGCTGGGACTAAAGGTGTGTGCCACCAACGCCCGGCTGACCTTTTTTTTAAAATTAGTTTTCTTTCCTTAAAATATATTTTACCATATTTTTCCTGCCCTCAAATTTTCAGAACCTCTCTACTTACCTACCCACCCAACTTCTCTCTCTCAAAAAATGTCAAAACAATAAGAAAAAGTACACACACACCAGAACAAAAAGCCATGGTGTCCATTTCATGTTGGCAAACAATTCCTCGGCATGGAGCCTACTCTGGGGTGTGTTTGATATACCCAGAAATCCTCAGTTGGAGAAAACTGACTTCCCTCCCCCTCAGGGTTAGAGATGGGCCTCTGTGTCCACTTTTCCCTCTCTGTGCTCGGGCTGCGTCTGATTGAACCTGCGCATGCCTCGTGTGTGCTGCCGCGATCCCTACGAGTTCAGATTGAGCCTGCGCGCGCCTTGTGCACAGTAGGCTGTTAGGAGCATCTCTCGTGTGTACGCACCATGCCAATAGCATCCTTCTAGTTGTGATATTACTAAATAAATCCTCGGTGGGGGGGAGTCTCCCCATTTAAGAACTGTTGACCTGCTGGGACGTACGTAAGCTGTGGGGCTGAGCGATTGGCCCGCGCGAATGCACTGATGGTCCCATGAGACCAGCCGTCTAACCCCTTGCTCAACACCTATCTTAGCTGCTTTTCCTGGTACTGACAAAATAACCGTGACGAAAACAACTGTCGGGGCCCTCCAGCTAATCTGGGTTCATACCTGAGAAGGGAAGTTTGAATTGAGAAAAGGAATAGGCAAGAGAGTTGGGAGGGCACCAGGAATACCAGGATCACCCCAGTTTATTGTTTAAAGTCTTTTTATATCCCCATCGAAAGAGGGGAAGAAGACCTCCTCACCAAGATACAAAAAACAAGCAGGCACTGTTACCTTTTCAATAGCCAAAACATCAAGTAACCATATCCTGCGTTAAGTATTCTGTTGTTTGGGCAGGACATGCAGGGACCACATCGTAGCCCAAACATCCTGTTGCATTCACATCTTAGGTCAGACAGCCCATCGTCAAAGTAAGACACACAATAGCCACACTTTGGGCCAAACATCTGCTGTGTCACCAGGGAGGACAAGGGCAGGCACTTAGGGGAGAAAGCGACATTTCATTGCCATATATGTACAAACAGTAAAGGAGCGTATGAAGACTCGGGATATTATCAGCTGATAAGAAAATACACATTGGGGCCTGGAGAGACGTCTCAGTGGTTAAGAGCTCTCACTGCTCCTGTAGAAGATCTGGGTTTAATTCCCAGCACCATGACAGGCAGCTGAGAACTCCAGGGAATCTGACATCTCTGGCCTCCTCTGACACACAATTATAAACCTTTCAGTTTTAATTTTTGTTTTGCAATGGGCTCTCTATGTAGTGCTGGTGGCTATCCTAGAACTCTCTGTGTAGACCAGTCCGGCCTTGAACTCACCGAAACCCTCCTATCCACCATACCCAGCCCATCGGGGTTATCTGCAAGCTCCTTTATAACTTCGCACCAGAGCACTTTAGCAAGCTTTCTTGGTCTATCTTTGGATTGCCAGCCCCCAAATATTGACATGGAAACATTCTATTAATTGAAAGGTTGGCCATTAGCTTAGGCTTGTCCTACTAGCTCTTATAACTTAAATTAACCTGCTCTTATTAATCACCTTCTGCCACATGGCTCAGTTACCTCTACTCTGACCCATGTGTCCAATCTCTTTAGTGTCTCCCTGACTTCTCACTGACATAACTGGCAAGCCTAGATTCCTCCTCCTCTTCTCTCTTCCCAGAAATCCCGCCTGTCCTCTCCTGCCTAGCTATTGGCCATTCAGCTCTTTATTAAACCAATCATAAGGCACCTTGGCAAAGACATGTCTTCATAATGTACAAAAAAATTATCCCGCAGAGTGCACTTTAAACACCTCTTTGTCGGGAGTATTGCCTGGCCTGAGTAACTTCCT